TTAGGTGTCACTGAAGCCATGGATGTTTTGTGAATGCAGTGTGTCCCCAGTAGGCAGTCCCTCCTGGATAGCTACACAGTCCAAGCAGGCACACCCCAAGAACCGGACAGAAAGGTTTGCAGGCAGTGGGGTTTGCAGGTGTGGGGCCCCCCCCATCCACCAGACTTCTGTGAGTGGAGACCATATTCCATGGCCCGAAAAAGGCCTGTCTAATTCTAAGCACACTTCCAATGTTGATGCTGAATCCTTTCCATTTTCTGGTCCAACCTTGATCTTCCCTGTTCAGAGATCCTGCACTCTCCACACCCTTTCTGCTCTCCTCACCAGTGGAGATGGTCCTACTCGTCCTCCTCCCTCCCTGCCTGCTGTCTCACCAAGAACTCTGCTCTGGGTTTCTGACCCTCACGGTACTTACCCAAGAAGAGCCTCGTGTTAGGGCAGGTAATGGAGGGGCACAAAGAATGAGAGAGGCAAGCAGGAACAGTGCTTTTGGAAAATGCTCTAATGATAGCACTCACTGGCCTTTCTGCAGCCCAGGAGAAGCCTGTTTAGAAAGAGAAAGAATCAGTAGAATAAGTGGGTTCTCGCTGAGCACCCAGTACACAGGTCACTATTAAAACTGGGGTGTCTTGGCCCATTAGGATGGCTTTTACTTGAACTTGATAGGCTTTGGACAAAACCCTCTGAATTTACTAAGCTAAACTGTGTCTTTCTTCCTTTCTTCTTTTTTTCTCACTTTGGTCATGGGAGAGTTAAGAGTTACAGCGGGGCTATGAGGAAGAGTTGAAGAGCAGGCATTGAAAAATGGAGGAAAAGACCTACTTTCACGGCTCCTTTCACCCTCCCCCAGGCAGCACAGTGCACCGCCTGCCCCTCAGTGTCTCTACTTAGCTGTTTGATTTCTGTGCCTCCAAAGTTCTGTCACTGCTTGCTAGGAAATCCTGTCTATGCTGTATGCTGATATTTCATTCATGATACCTCTTCTTTCCTTTAGCACATGTGATTGAGAGTACACTATACCCTTAACTCCGAATTACAGAACTGCAATATAATCAGAAATATTTTTTTTTTAAATTCTGGATTGGCTTCCCTACTGCATGTGAGCCATTTCTTATTTGTTTTCATTTAACTTCAGATCCTTTGTGCTGACTAGAACATTTAATTTCTCTTAAAATGACCACATACTCTGTGTTAAATGCTTTATCTCCTTAACTTTCTGAACACCTTCACAAGACAGGTACTTACTATATTCTTCTCAAGTTATAGATAAGGAAACTGAGGCTTAGAGAAGTTAAATAACAACCCAAGTCACTCAGCCAAGGAAATGGGAGTTCATATCTGACTCCTGCATCTGTATAGCTCCAAAATGGATCATTTTAAAGTGAAGAGCTTATATGAGCTTCCCCTTCACGTTGTGATTTAAGTATCCACTTTGTGCTTTGTGTTCCTTTTTAACAAATCAGACTTGCCATTCCTGACCTTAGATACAAACCCAGAAAGCTGTCTACCACCACTTATCACATCTCATTTCTTCACTTGGAGAACCACAACCAACAGGCCACATCCATTTCATATATAATGTCTGAAACCCTTTGGTAATAGCTATAAGTAATATGCAGGAGAATAATGGGAAAGAAAAATATCCCCAGAAGTGCATTAATGTACATAGTTACCGTTCAATAAAAAAAAGAAAAAAAAAAGAAAAATATTAACATTCCTGCTGAATGATTTTATTTTAAATATGTACATATAGAAATGAAAGTCATGGGCACCTGAAAATCTAGATTTTCAGATTAGACAGTTTGCGAAATGTCTATACTCTGCCATAATAGCACCTTAATAATTATAGCAAGAACCTTCCTCTAAGGAGCTCCCAAGTGTTTTACAAACATTTTTCCTCATTAACTAGTATACATTTTTCTGTGGCAGAGAAGGGAACAGGATACTCTGTCCTACTTAAAATGTGGAACTGCTAATGCATTGAGGGACTAAGCAGGATGCCCTCAGGTCATTCACTGATAGGGCCAGGACTAGAGTCCTCAGGGGGTGTGGGCCTCTGTGGGCTGAGGACCACGAGATAGGCCAAGGGTCATGTGGCAAATGCCTTGGTCCGACTCCTCACTTAGAGAAGGTAAAACAACCCCAGAGAGAGGAAAATGTTTAAAAGCCCAGGGTAGTAAATAACAGATCCCAAACTACACACTTACAGATAACACACATATACAGTATTTGCAGTGGAGGGGAGGATGACAACTGTGAAGAATAAACTTACAGACAGATCAGAAGCGTATGAAAGTAAAAAAAAGACTTCATCCAATGACTTTGCCAGAGGAAAAACACACAGTTATAAAGTGAAAGTTTGAAACAGCAAGAACATTTTAACATGCGCAAAGTTTCAACATCCTACCAGCCAAAATACTCTCTGAAATTTAAGCACACTTCCTATGAAAGGTGACAAGTGGACATGTTTTAAAACAGTAGTCCCCATCCTTTTTGGCACCAGGGACCAGTTTTAATGGAAGACAGTTTTTCCCAGTGTGGCGGGGATCTGACGGGACAGGGCTTGGGTGTTGATGAAAGGGATAGGAGCAGCTGTAAATACAGATGAAACTTTGCCCACTCGTCTGCACCTTACCTCCTGCTGTACAGCCCAGTTTCTAACAGTACACAGACTGATACTGGTCCACAGCCCAAGAGTTGGGGACCACAATCTTAAAAGATAATTGAAAGCATAGTATCTAGGAAAGCACAAGGATGGCACAGACCAGCTGAGTTCCACACATGTTTATAGCTGACAGAAATGTTTCAACTAAAAATAACATGCATGACTGTCTCTCTTAGGGAATCTCTCATTTTAAAAATGTACCAAGGTGGCTGAGCATAGTGGCTCACGCCTATAATCCTAACACTCTGAGCAGCCAGCCCAGGAGCTCCAGACCAGCCCAAGCAAGAGTGAGACCCCTTCTCTACTAAAAATAGAAAAACTAGCCAAGTGTAGTGGTGCATGACTGTTGTCCCAGCTACTTGTGAGGCTGAGGCAAGAGGAACCCTCAAG